AAAACTTAGTGATCAATTATGGCTCCTATTTTTGGGTTACAAAAGCATTTGCCTCCAGCCTGACTCGAACTATTGACCTCATCTGTGAGAGTTTGGAAGCTTAGCCATTAAAGCTAAACACTTAAAGAATTAATTAGTAAATAATATGTGATGATAACTATCATAGTAAATAAAATCTCCAAATGTTAAATTGCTTTTTAAATTTACGTTAACTCCAACTCCTATACAATTAAATCAAAATAATTAATAGAAGCTATATTTTTAAACAAGATTATCAATGAAAGGTCTATGAGTTTTCATTCATCTAGTGGTACAAAAAATGGGTACGTGTTATTTTATAAAAAATCATTTCTATTTCATAGACAATCATTTTATAGACATTTTATTTCATAGACAATCAATTTATAAACAAATTTATTTTGAAGCCAAATAATACACAGACAATTATTCTATAAACAATCTTTAACAGTGAATAACTTCTAAGCTACTAATCTATTTTGGATAATTTAATACGAAATAATCATCTCATCAAGTCAATCGTTTTGGTAATTAAATTATCTAAAATAGTTCAGTAGATCAGGAGTTCACTGTAAAAGATTGTCGATGAATTGAACTGTCTCTAAATAAACTCTTTTAAAATGAACTTGTCTATAAATTGATTATCTATTAAATGAAATATCTGTGAAATGACTTTCTATAAAATGATACGTACCCCCCAAAAATCTCTATACATAAGATTAGACCGTTCAGCAGTTGCCTAGATATATATACATCAGTGTTGGGTAAATCAGTGGTCAAGCGAAAATTTGCTGCCAAATTGGTCTGGTCAAATTGGTCAATTGATCAAACTAGTTAAATTGGTCAAGTCTAATATATAAAATATAATAAATTATATTTAAAAATGCTATTTGACCAATTTGACCAGTACAAATCTTTTGAAAAACTGGTCAAATGGTCAAATGGTCAAATTGGTATAATGCTTTCTGATGGTAATAAATTTTTATTTATTTTTTTTTTGTTTAAATTATGTAACAGGTCATTGTATTGATTAATTATGTATACAGTATATTAATACAGTACTAATTAATTTAAAATTATAATTTACATAAAAATCGAAGCATAATGTTTAAAGCAGATAATCTAATAAAGGTTAAAAATATACAGCCTTTTGATTTGTTTGACTTCTGTCATCTTCCGGAGTCGAAGCTCTAGAATTTTCACTTATAAGTGATAATCGTAATGATTCATGTACACTTTCCCTTCCGCTAGGTATAAATAAAGTATTATTTTCAGTCACACTATGATTTCCTAAACTTTCATGTGTGTCATCTTCGTCATTTGCAATTTCCAGTATATTTTCTCTAATCATCCTACGATCTATACTGCCAGGTGGTACAAAATTGGTGGCAACGAAATTCGGATCTGGATTATAATATTGATTTGGTGGAACTAATTGTGCATTATAATGTTGGAAATGATAACCTTGACCGTAACCTCCAGCATGACCACAATAATTACTATCTACTGGAGAGGAACAACCAGAACGATCTGAATAATCACTTCTTACTGGGTAGGGACCTTTATAATGACTTTTTGCTGGATACAACACATGATATGATGAATCAAACCTTTCATTTCCATTTGGAGCATTATAACTTTGAACTGAGTCATTTACGTAATTAGTCCCTTGTTGTGATGAAAGACTCGTATTTTCTATTCTATTTATTCTAAAAGAATTTTCATTTCTAAATTCAGGATCCAAACCTCTTGAATTTCCATCGTGAGCATGAACATTTTGGCGTTTAAGTCGTCGGTTTGCGCATAATTTTTTAAATATAAACACCATTGAAACAAATAAAATAATTCCAATAGCTGCTGAAATCCCAATTATTATATATTTAGTTGAAGAACTATCATTTTGCTTATTGAAACTCTCATCCGAAATAGGTGAACCATAGGATGTATTATCATTAGTAGGCACTGGACTTGAAGTATCTGAAGGACTAGGCAACTTAGTTTGGGTTGTTGCCGGAGCTATTAGATGATCAGCTATTTTTTTTGTATTGGTTAATGTAGAAGTCGACAATGATTTTCGAGGAGTTTTAAAAACTGAGACTCCTGGTGAAGTAGTCTTAATGGTAGTAGTCACATGAATGAGTTTTGCTTGAGGATATCTTGCTATTAGTTTTTGAGAATATCTTAATCGTATGAATTTTCGTTGGAAAAAATTTTCAGCATCGGCTGATTAATTGAGTAGTAAAAATTTTTATATAAAAGATGGAAATGAAAAACAATAATATATAATAAACTTACATTGAGCAATTATCAATATAAAAATCAAGACAAAAAATATATATTTGTACACAGAAAAACGAACCATCATGATAAATTTTTCTTCAGAAACACCGATAAAAAAATCAGTTAACCTTTACAATTTAGTTAAAAGGTAGACTTCTATAGAGTTATGTGGCTAATTTCATGTCAATCTTCCTAGAAACTTTATTACAATCAGCTAAGCTTTTTTGCATGATAGTATATCAGACTAACATTAAAACTTAGCATAATTTATGATGACTCCAAACTGTAAATAAACCTTTTTTGTTTCACAAATTGTTCTGAAAAAATCGAATTTACCAAATGTTCGTACGTACATATAATTACGTATAAGGTAAGACAAAAATATAGCATACAAATTTTCAAACTTGTATATTTTAAGTAATAAGGGCGTGCATACATCAAGTAATAAATTTCGGATTGCCGGTATTCGCAAGAATTATTACCCCTTTTTTGGTAATTCTTCTCACTACGTATCATATGTAAGTGGTCATCGAATGCATCTAATCTAGTCATAATAGTCCGAGTTATCCTTTTTTTATCTTTTCCTCATTACTACGTACGTATGTACTGTACTTTGGTTAATTCTATCGCTGTAGGTTCTTTTTGCCATGGAAATACAATGATTTAGTGTAAGCATTTTTTATGATGAAACTAAGTTTTTTAAGGGGTTTCAAAATTAACAAAAAAATTGTGCATTTCATAAAGTAAAATAGTACGTAGTATTTTGTTATGTCCAATTCTAAATGGAAAAAATGAAATATGTAAATTCAAATTCACAACTTTTTTATTATTAATAAACAAAAAATGAGTTGCTTTATGTAAGTAATGGTTATCCGGCAGGTACTATGTATACACTGACGGAAAAAATTCCATATTATTGCCGCAGATGTTTATTAAAATCATGTGATATATACTAATTGTAAATTTTTAAAATTCTCAATTTCATATTTTTTAAAACTAATATGCCCAGAATAAATTACATATAGAAAAACAAATCATATTAAAAATGGTAGTGGAAATGATAATGTATTTCCTTATTATTATGTTCGGATGAAGATTCATGAAGTTGCTTGATATCATGAAAACTTGGTATAAAATATGGTGCCGATTGATTAGAGATAGACTTTAAAGGTGGTCGTTGATCTGATAATCTTGGAATACGGGATCTGAAAGTGGATTTCTTGTCATAATTAGACTTTATTGAAGTTGGGGTAGATGCTGAATTACTCGAATCTACAAAAATTACAATATAATTAAAATATATTATTAGCGTAGCAATAAATTAATAACTAGAATAATCCATACCCGAATACTCTTCATATTGTTCTGGCCCATTATCAAGTGCATATTTTTCTGCTGCTGTCATTAAAGTCGAATCTAAAAAAAAAAAAAAAAAAAAAAATATTAAAAAATACTTTACCATTTATTTTTAAATGTATAGATAAAATAAATACCATCGTAAATCTCTGGATTATTTTCATAATCTAAAAAATTTACACCATCGCCAGGAAAATAATTAAATTCTTCATATGGTAAGTCATCATAATCGAGTGGAATTAATAAAGCCGTATTCTGAATTTTTTGATCTTCATTTGAATTATTGTATGCTTTTATTCCTTCACGGCTTCTATGTCCAGAAAACTCCATTCGTTCATCTTCTGGAACATTCAAATCCTTAAGTCTCTGAATTGCAGTTCGACGTAGGGAATGATTGGTAATTTTGCGCCCATTATCCAAATTGATTTTAGTAAGATCCGCAATTTGTGACATCATAGTTCCCAGTTTTTTTTCACCCATAGGACTAGTCTTGAACCAAACGTCCTTTTTTAAATCTTGTACGTACAGTAATAAAGTAATATATATTAATATGTATATATTAAATATGCATAAACATGTATATATGTGTATGTATATACATACGTACATACGTACATACCCTTTTTAGCTCTACAGGTTTCCAAGAATAATGCATCATCAGCATTAAGAGGACGGAGGGAGATCATTTTTAATATATCATAAACGGGTTTGAAGCGATTATTTGAATTGTCTGGAGGAATTGGTAATTTTCTTGCAGATGATTTTTCATATTTATTACGCTTTAGAGCACCCCTTTGATTATTTTTTTCATGAGTAAGAACAAGAAATAATCCACCATGAGGTTGACGGCTTATATCTTTTACTTTTAATTTGGCAGTATCACCACCCCGCAAACCACAAAGTAGTGAAAGCCAAAAAAATACGCGTCGAACCAAACTTTCATTATCATTTATCGACATAGATTCATGATCTAAAACTTGAAAAATTTCATCTACAGTAAGTGCAGCAGCCTGATC